TTAATTAATTAATTAATTTAATTGACGGGCCAATTTAATTAAAATCTAATTTTAACTAAATGTCGAATGAGAGTCCAACTCTAAATCCTTAACTATTGGGTGAAGTAATTTAATCAAAATCGAATTTTAATTAATTATTAAATTAGAGTCATACTCTAAATTCTAATTTGCATAGGGAAGTGGTGCTAATTCAAAACAAAATTTAATTAATTTAATATCAGAGTCCAACTCTAATAAAATTGAATTAATATTTTAATTTAGGACAAAATTCCCAAACATAATAAAAATTCAATTAAGGGTCAAACTAAATATTTAAGTTAAAATCTAATTTTAACAAAAATATAAAAGTCGTCAAATTTTTAAATAAAACTTTTAATTCTGGGTCAAAATTAGGGTATGGGTCAAACCCAGTTTAAAACTCATTTTTAAAATAATTCAAAATTCAAAATCAAAATCCTTTTTGAAATTTTACAAAATTTACCCAAATTGAAATTAACAGCAGACCCTTCCAAAATCGAAATTTACAGAACAGGTCCTTGATTTAAAATTTGCAAATTGACCCCTTTTTTATAATTGCAACCAGGGGCCCCTAATTACATTAATTGCAACAGAGGCCCCCGTCTCCACCAAAACCCTAAACCTAAAAAAAAAAAAATTTCTTTTCTTTCTGGGGCGGCGCCAGTGCGTCAGAAATAACCAGCAGCGCGGAGGTGCTGCAGAAGCAGCGGCTCCCGCTGCTGGTTGTTGTCGGCGCGCGGATGCACCACTCGCCTCACGACCCCAAATTTTTTTTTCAAGAACAGATCCAAAAAGACCAAAAAAAAAATTAAAACTATATTTGCTAGATTTAAGAATGAACATGATTAAACTAACATTTAATTTAATCAACACGTTAAACAGTTCCTAACAAATACAAAGTTGGCTTTGATACCGTTGTAGGGAATTTACTTAAACATGCATAGCAAAATTTAACAAGTTTCAATTCCCATTCAGGATTCAACTTTATATTTAGATAAAAACTGTGATAAGAAATATACCTTTTTCTTGTAATTTGCAAACTCCTTTGCGTTATTCATTTCCAGTAGCTTGAATCTGCCTCCCACAGCTGTCCAATTGTCCAGCCTCCAATGAAATTCACACAGAGAATAGATTGCAACCGCTAGGGTTTCTCTCTTGTGCTAGCAAGAATAATGAAAACCCTTTTTGGACCTCAAACCCTAGCTGTGTATATATATAAACCCAAACGGACCCGGCCCGGTCCGGTCCAATATTTAATTAATTCGGGATTATAAATAACAAATTCAATTAATTAATTTATCCAACGATTGTTAAATTAACCAATTGACAATTTGCAATCTTCCAATTCTCTTTTGTGTGCGACCCATTAGGTTCCTGACTACGATGCCTAACGTCGTGAAATATTATTTTGATCTAATCAAAATTGATAAATTAATACACCCTTTTAATTTATCGTCAATTCCCACTCGCCGTCCCTGATTGACATCTAGCAATGTGTCAGGGCAATACATGTGACGGGAAATGTCACGTGGTATGACAAAACCAAATTCGTTCGTTTACCGTGAAACTATTATCCATTCGTCAATACGATCCGATCAATTACGAGATATGGAATTGTGTTAATCTTAATCATTGATTATATCTTTCATTCCACTATTAAGTCAATATAACTCGAAAACTCCTTTTCGACTTAGGAGTACACTTTGGCCAAGGATTTCATCATCGACTTAACTGAATGAAATGCAGATCATAATCTCCTACTATCTAAGAGTGACGAATCCTTTATTGATCAATCACAACCTTCATACGATTCTTGACGTACCCGAACGATGTCGTATTAGCGGCCCCTTTCAGAGCAACATCCAATACCGCCAAAGTATGACTGTCCTCATATAAGGTACTATGACGACCTTAAATCAAAGGATCAATTCCACTACCGAACGTTAGAGATTAACCACTGACACTCAGATAGTTATCCATGTGGAATCTCTTAGCGAGTCTCCAATATTTTGTTTTATAACAAAACATCTACGTGTTCATTTAAGTGTCACCACACTTTAATTCGTGAGATCAGCTACTTACTTCACAAGTAAGAAATGCCACACGTGATGGTCTAACTGTATTAACGATATCCGTATCTCGTTATTACTTACGACCATGGTTTATTCAAAATCCAATTATATGTAATTTGTATCTCACAATCATAATTTCTTGTGATTAATAGATTACCTAAAAATTGGATCTTCGGATTCTATTATTTAATATTATTTATTACAAAATTAATTTAAATAAATAATAGACCTCGCCAAAATCAAATGCATTAAATATATTAAAAGCGTTTACAACCTAAATCGATTGGATCTAGGACATAACACTTACAGTATCAATAGAATCTATCAGTGTCTTATTGTTAAATATAATTTTACTAGTAAGAACCAGGATGAGACACATGAATCCAGGACTGACAATGAGTATGGGAGAGGTAACTAATTCTTAATTAAATGACAAATACCAAATTAAAATTGCAAGTGGAATATATTTGAAAGATTGTCATTAAAATTGGGAAATCACATGGAATTGTTGTGGTGCCATCTTCCGCGATCTTCGAAGCACTCCAAACCCGATAAACAAAAAGCACAAGGCACACAGAAACTAGGAATTAAATATGCTATGAATGAGTTAAATTGCAATAAATGAGACATTATAAATTTGCAGATACGAAGGCCACCACAAGTTGAATTTTAAATAGAAACTGAATATATCTGGGTAAATTTCATCCTGGATCACCTAACTTTCAACAAAATTTTGGAACTGTTTAGTATGTCTCAGATTGGATCTCCTCAGTTTCAATTTGAGTAAATAACTCAATTGGATTACTGAACTTTTTAATCTGGCTCAATTGTTTAATTGAAAACGGTTAGATATTTTAATATAATAAATATATTATTTGAAAGAAATAATTAAATTAGATAAATTGCACAACTGATGAAAGGTGTAGAATTCGTGTGAGGTCGACGGTTCTTTTGTACTCTTGAACTTTATTGATTAAAATAATTTTTATTTATTTTTTTAATCATTTTTAAATTTATTTATTGGGTCAAAATAGCCAGTAAATAAAAAGACTGTTGACTGTTACTAGATGATACCAACAACTCATAAAAATTACAACTATTCTCTCACTTATGGTGGAGGTAGATATCATTTTTAAGAGTTCTGATATTATTTGTGACTGTTGCACAAGTGATTTGACCGTCGTATCCTGTGAATGATGTCCAAAGAGGGTTGCAACAATTAATGATAGACAATTTCACTTTAAGACATTGTTCTATTACGATACTCGATCAATCGATATGTTTTACATTCTGTATTTTACAGTTCTACAAGTTATTGCAACTAATTATTTTTCAACAAATTTTTTTCCATGTAATTTGCTAAGTGACATCTTAGAAACATGAAAAGTAAAATTCAACCTATGAAAATATTTTAAAATTAAAAGGTTAAAAGATGTTTACTTTTGTAAGCACTTTTATGATGTGACTAGCCCCGTTTAACCCTCATTAAATTCTATTTTTCTCTCATATTTTCAACTACATAATTTTTTATAAAATAATATTATATATAAATTAAAAAATTTTCTTTTTTTTTTTCAAGCATTCATTTAAAAGAAAAAAAATACACTCTTCACTCATTTTCATTTAAAAAAATGGGGGACAGAGCTTAGTAAGCTAACTTAACATGTAATCATTGTAATGTCTGTCAATTGAGCAATTTTCTTCATAAGCCAACAAATGACAAATTGGTGAAATTAAAAGCTAAGTTGAATTTTAATAATGGGTTAATTTCACAAACGGTCACTGAATTTAACTAAAAATTTCAAAACGGCCACTGAAATTACAAACTTGTAGAAATGGTCATTGAAGTTTAGAACGGTTTCACCAACGATCACTCTGTTAAATTGTACCACTATTAGGACAGTTATAACTTGAATTCGAACTTAAAGGACCATAACATGTGAACACAAAACCTTGAGGACCTCAAGTGAAAATTTCATCTAAACCCATACCCCTAACATCACTAGTTAAATCCCAAATATTGAAAATCTCGAGCAAAATCTCATTATAGTGGAGGAGGAGGAGGTTGTTGGTTGGATGTAGATGTGAGTGGAGGAGTCGCTGTTGGTCGTTTGGGTTTGGGGGTGGAGGTTTAGATGAAATTTTCACTTGAGATCCTCAAGGTTTTGTGTTCACGTGCTCTAGTCCTTTACGTTTGAATTAAAATCATAACGGTCATAATGGTGCTACCAACTTAACAGAGTGATTTCAGTGACCGTTTCTGTAAGTTTGTAATTTCAGTGATCGTTTTGAAATTTTTAGGTAATTTTAGTGACCGATTGCGAAATTAACCCTTTTAATAATTCAATTGAAAATAAATTAAAGTATCGAATGAGAGAAAGTTAAAATTTAATAATTCAACTACGGTTTCACCAAAGTTCAATGATTGCATATGAAATTTACCCAAAGGTATTTCTCTCTCTAATCAACGAAGAAGTGGACGCCCCTCTAATTATTGGTTTGACCGTAACAATCCAATTGCAATAAATTCATCTTTAATTTCCACTAGTTAATATAAAACTCTTAGATCTGAGCAAATATAGCTTCCAAACTAATCATACAGTTACTCAATACACAGATTATCCCATCATTTCTCTACTTATAAGCTATTCCTTCTAATCAATTAATTAATACGTACGAGTACTACTGTAATCGTAAGACTTTTGAAACTACCTAATTAAAATAAATTAATAAATAAAAACTGCAAAGCACTTTATGATTTTGAGGCACCAAATTAATAATTCAAACCGTAACGTACCTAGTTTAATTATAATAATTAATGAATTATAATTAGTTTCTTATACAATATATTATTATTTGCTCTCTCTATATATATATCCACCACTTACTTTCTATCGTGCAGCAGCATTCCCTCAAGCGGCTTAAAACAAAGTAAAGTACATTACAAACTCTCTACGCATTCCCGTACGCACACATATAATATGGATTCGAGGAAGTCGAACAAGATTATGGAGATAGTAAGACTTCAACAAATCCTCAAGAAGTGGAAGAAGCTTGCCAATAACAACAAGACCAGCTCTGGGTCGGGGTCGGGCCCCGCCTCGGTTACTTTAGGCATTGGTGGGAGTAAGAGCATGAAGTTTCTGAAGAAAACACTTTCCTTCACGGAAAGCTCGATTTCTTCTTCTTCTTCTTCTTCTTCTTCTTCTTCTTCATCGTCAACCACCGACCAAGTCCCGAAAGGATATCTTGCGGTCTGCGTGGGAAAGGAGCTCAAGAGATTCGTAATCCCAATGGAGTATCTTGGACACCAAGCCTTCGGGATTTTGCTGAGAGAAGCCGAAGAAGAATTCGGGTTTCAACAACAAGGAGTGCTAAAGATTCCATGTGAAGTCGAATTGTTTGAGAAAATGTTGAAGTTGATGGAAGAAAACAGAGATGTATTTTTCTTGAATGATCATATAATTGATCATGCTGATTCCGTAATGAGCTGTTATTCACCAGATTGTGACCTAACTTCACCATCTCATCGCCCTCAGATGTGTAGATGATGATTTTCTGGATATTATTAGGTGTTCTGTCTTGTCAAGGCACATGTATTATTATTATTATTAATGGAGAGGAGATTTTTAAGGTCTTTTTGTGAAAGGGAATGAATTTGTAATTCTCATTTACATGTATCCAGATTGTGACCTAACTTCACCATCTCATCGCCCTCAGATGTGTAGATGATGATTTTCTGGATATTATTAGGTGTTCTGTCTTGTCAAGGCACATGTATTATTATTATTATTATTAATGGAGAGGAGATTTTTAAGGTCTTTTTGTGAAAGGGAATGAATTTGTAATTCTCATTTACATGTACGTTGTTCAAATTTCCAGTCAAAAATGAGCTATCTAGCTACTTATAGGTGAAGTCACAATTTAGTTATCAAAGTTCACTTCTCATTGCTGTGAATGGCCGAAGATTCTCCTGTTAGTCGAGCGATCAAGGTGGGGCCGGCCAAAAGCCATTAACTTAGTTTCAGAACGAGGAACATGATCCCTTTTCTGAACATGCCTTGAATCTTACTATTATTTGATGCGTTGCCATCCTTCAATTTTTGTCTCAATTTCGCGTGCAGTCTTTAATATCGTAAGTATGTCAAACTGGCTATAATAGTCTGAGGAACAAAGTGATCCAGCTGAAATACAATCAGATTTACTAGTTTGTGAACAAAAAAGGGACAAATAAAAGTTTAGTAATGTCTAATATAAAACATCAGTGATTCAGAATAAATTGTTTGATCAACCAATTATTTTTGTAAATTCAACAACTATTAATGCGAGTTTGAGGAAAGAAATTAATTAATTTTTTCGTACGTACATAGTACACTTAAAGGTTGAGTAATTTAATGTAAACAAATTAGATAGGAGGGAGGATCATGTGCTCACGAGTTCCGTAATTGTATCGTAACCATGTGACATGTGCCTAACACAGTGGTAATCATTATAATTAAATCCAAGTTTACAATTAAAATATTGAAATGTTCAATATATTTGCATATGGCTTCCATATTTGAGTTATACACCAATAACAACATTGCAACTGCAACTTTGCTACACTAACAGAATGAGGATGACGGATTCCTTGATCAAACCCTCACAATAAGGGTGGGAGCCACTTTTTTTTTTTTTTTTTTTTTTTTTAAATTTTTTATTCACGTGAGTCCCACCACCATATCAAACGGCATATCACCATTTTTCTATCAAACTTGTTTCATTCTTTGCAACTATTAACTGTAATTAATAGTAGTTTGTTGACTGGACTAAATTTTTTAAAACCTAGATTAATAGGTAAAAAAAATTATAAAGAATAATTTCAAATGGGTTGATATTATTGTCATGAAGTTAATGTACACCTCAATTATTTCAAATGGACCGAAGGCGAAGTTTCTCGATCGGCTCTTCTCGGCCCAACCCCAAGTGGGTTGGGATGAGAAGTGCTAAACATTCACAGAGTTCATGAAAAGTTGAGATGTTTGGATAAAGAATTAAGTTCTTTATACAAATGAATTGTATAGAGAACGTTACAAATGATTAGGTGGCAACAACGCTATATTTATTAATTTAATTTTGTATATTGTTTAATGTTCAGTGAAATCTTGTCAGCTAAAAGTTCTTGTATTACTATTCATGCCAAATTTCGAAGATAAAGATAACACTTCTATTATGTCTCATTCTACGAGGCTCCCAAAATTAACCACTTGGAAGTCAACTAAGAAGCCACCTAAGGCTCGCACTTCACACCTCTTGTCAAGTTCTAGAGTGTGCTTGACACTGATTTTTGTGCTATCATATTTTTTTGAAGATATTTAATTGGTTGTTGAGTTCGGCCACTAGGCCATCATTTTTCCTAGGATGTAAATTGTAATCTACATCATGATTGCATGTTGTCTATGCAATCATTACTCTCTTATAATTTGGTGGAATATGGGGTTTTGACATCAGGAATGGTATTTAACTTCTTTCGATTGATTGTTGTGGAGGTGATGACGTCATTGGAGAACACCTTTTTTAGTAATGCATTGACGAAGTTTATTGATGACGATTGGCTCGTCCAATATAGGCTTTTAATCAGGACCTTGCCTCCTTCTCTCATCAAGTTACAGAGTGTGCTTGACATTGATTTTTGTGCTACCATATTATTTTGAAGATATTTTTTTGGTTGTTGAGCTTGGTCATTAGGTCATCATTTTACCTAGGATGTAGATTGTAACCTATGTTGTGATTGCACGTTGTCTATGCAATCATTACTCTTTAATAATTTGGTGGAATATGTGATGTTGACATCAGGAGTGATATTTACCTTCCTTCCATTGATTGTTGTGGAGGTGTTGACGTAATTGGAGAACACCTTCTTCAATAATGTATTGATGAAATTTATTGATGACGATTGACTCGTGGATCAACGAACTCAATATATGAGCTTTTAATATGACCTATTGCCGGGGTTTTGGGGTTTACCATTAAGCTCATTTTGATCCTTTTTAGAGTGAGCCCAAGTTGCGTGTGAGTTCAGACACTTAACATATTGAAATAGTTTAACAAAATCCTTAAATCTCTTTAAGTCTAGATTTCCACAATAAAGAAATGGAAAGTAAAATCAATGATCTTTAAGACAAAATATAAAGAAATGATTATTATTTCCCATTTTCATGTGGTCCATTAATATTTTCTAATAGTAAATTTCATAAATTTCTTGTGAAATTTTGATTTATAATAGAGAAAAATTAATTTAATAATAAAATTTTAAAAAATATCAAACTTGTTGAATTCTTTCAAAAAATTATGTCATAAATATTGTAAATGGTAAGTTTATTAGTGAATGACAATTGTACCTCTATAATCCTAGAAATTATTATCATTGTATCTCTGATTCTTTCTTATAAATATAGGACTTTGGTTTTTAATAATATATATACAAGTATATTTACTCTTATTATCTCTTCTTCTTTTATCTCTAATTTTTAACAGGGTACGTTTGATTGTCAATATTTTCTATGAAAAATGTGTTTTTCCATCAAAATTCATACTTTTGTATTGTTTGATTGCCACTTTTTTCGACGAAAAATATTTTTCCACTTCTTGTCACGTTACCATATTTTCTTCAAAATCAAGAACAATATTTTCTTTAGAGAGTAAGATTTTATTTTCCAGGGAATTCACTTTCATCTACCCAAAATCAAGTATAATATTTTTTTAAGTTGAAAATTAAATCAATCAAACACATTTAATTGACAATTTTCATGCAAATAAATTATAGGCAATTGGATTATCTTGAATTTATTTTCTTTCCATGCAAATTCCATACGTGCAATCAAGCGCACTCTAAATTAATACTATTTTTCCTAAAATTAAAAATATTTGGATTTAAATTAGGAAATAGCTTGACTTAAATTGAGAATTAATGAATAATAGAAGATAATTATTCTATAATTCGTTATCTTCCTCAATTTTCTCACAAATCCTATAACAATAAATAGAATCACGAACCTCTATGGCAAGATTATCCAGAATGTACAAAGAAATTGACACAAATTACCAGCATGATTTCTCTACAATAATTATTTATTTCTTGTCCCCAGTTTCTCTACAATAATTGGCCACTATTTCTACATCGTTTTTACATCTATTGATAAAACATAGCATTAAATAATTGTACTGATCACAAGCATCGACACAATATTTTTGATCATTTTGTGCGAAATAGTAACTATAACCTAATACATTGTTATTGTAACTTATAGACTATATTAGTGTGATTCCAGTCACAAAATTATGACAATATATAGTTTCAAATATGCATACACAATTTTAAACTATTGTTTATCTTTATTTAATATCAATCTATTTAATTCTCATACTTATTTTTAACCACATATTCACACAATAAAATATTTTATATGTAAATTCAAAACTTTCTTAACTTTTTAATAACACATTCTTCAAAAAAAACCACCTTTCAATTTAACATTTTTTTTTCCAAAATAATGGTCATCAAATAAGGGTTAAATATGACATGTGCATTAGGAATATTGTCATTCCGTGCAAAATTTGTCATTATGTTGTATGACTGTGACCTATAAGGTTGTGTATTGTGACCTCAAATATTTGTAATATATTATGTTACCGACATACTACGTTGTGTGACTATAAGTTTGTGCGTCTGTGACAACTATTCATAAATATGTGACACATTTATGTGACCTAAAATATGTCTATTTGAATTTGAACTAAAATATGTCTCTTTGACAAATGTGGTGCACAAGAATCGTGACCTGATTTCAAGGATGGAGGTTTCATTTAGAACATGAGAATGAGACATTGAATGTGATTGTTTGTAATGCTCCATTTGGTCTATAAAGATATGCTTACTTCATTCTTCACACAGATTACAACTATAATCTCATTAAGGATAATGACCTATAATATAAAAAGGAGCGTAATCTGTTCCCGAATTTTTATTGTTTCAAAATTTGTTAAAAATAGTAACTAGGCTTCAAATTCAGGATTACTTACTAAACTTATACTGTTTAATAATATAGTTTTATATATTTTACACAAGCCAAATCGCATAGGAACTGATTCGAGGCTGGACTAATTTCCAGTACAGGTTCAAGGTCCAGCTAGTAAACTACTCCACCTTAAATCTAAAGGTGTATAGATTGAAGGAGACACAGTTTATTTGGCATTAGTGAAACAGTCCCGAATGACATACGTGTAACGTACCATAACCTACCTCAAACTTACGTGCAACCAAAATACTGTTAGCTTGATGCCCATTCTTTGAATAGTGTTCTGTAAAATCACATTATTAATTGAAGTTCGTTTATTTGCGTAATTTGAAATGATTATCTAAGGTTCCATGATCATATAGGATGTCACAAATTGTATACTCGATGGATCTGCTATAGTAAGACACAATTCGTGATGTGATCAAAATTATGTCGTTCACAATAGGTTCATAAAATTGGACGCTTTATGTTGATAAGATTGTATTGTTCTTATTCATATTTGTCTAGATCTTGGAATATAAACAATAATGTGTTTCGATGCACATTGAACGGGGCCGTGTAAATGACTCATTTGTGATGTTCCGAAATGAGTCTCTACTTGATTATCAAATAGTTCACCTAAATCCTAAATGAGTAATGTACCTTTCATTGTTAATACAAGTTCTTTGAAGTACCAATGAGTGAAGTCTTAAATAGAAGTCTTAATTGTACCGATCCCTCTCTTGGCTTCAATAAAATGTGTGTGACTTAATTGGTTTACTACAATAAAGTCCAAGGAAATTTGTACAATTTTCAAACCCTAATAGGGCATTATAAATATTCATTTTATTGGAATATTTTATATGAGAATTAGGGTTAGCCACTTTTCATTTTCTTGAAAAGAAAATACACGTAGTGGAGAACAAGGGAGAAGATTTAAGGGAGAAAGCAATTGGCTAGGCCATTGAAAGCTCCTTCAAAAGGTTATCATCTCTCTTTTTTAAGTGTGAGAATTTTATAATCCAATGATTTCAAGGTCACTAAAATCCTTATTTACATGGTTTTAATCTTCAAAGGAAAATTAATTTCCTATTGTGATGATCAAAATTCATTAACCAACAAATGGTATCAGAGCCAAGGTTATTGTAAGCCTTGAGTATGATTAAAAATTTTTAAAATCCTAGTGTAATATGCATTAAGTTATTTGATTTTGACATGTTTATGCTTTAATATGTTTAAAGTTATTGTTAATACATTCATAATCACTTTTTGGCTCTAGAATTTCTTTTTACTTTCTATTGTAATTCATTTATTATAGTTATTCTCAAAAAATATTGTAAGCCATAAGGTACTAAGGTTTTTGTATTTTTTCTTCATTTTCACACTTGTATTTTGAGGAAGAAATGTAATCTTTGTTGCTGTATTTTCAATGAAGAGGAAGGAAGGACAAAATGCAAGAAAAAACAAAGAAACACCAAAGTCGGTCAAAGCAGCCATAGCTGTTGCTGTTGCAACAGCATGTGCCTCACGGGGCAGCTGTTGGCCGCCGAAGGGCAGCCTGCCGGCGACGGTGGCCTCTTTTGGGGTCGCCGAAATAGTGTGTGTTTGGGTGGAAGTGTATTTTCTTGTTAGGGTTTGAAAATTAGGGTAATTTGGATTCTTTTTGCCTCTCTTTGATACTTGGCCTAATGTTGTTGGATAATGGCCTTGTTGGTTTTAAGATTTGGGTCTAAAAATTAAATTAACCCTATTTTCATGTTATATGAGGTGGACTACAAAGAGGATTGAAAAATTGGGTCGGGATGTGGCCCAATGTAATTCTTTTTATCTATGTTGTAATTTAAATTCTTAGAATGGCCCATTAGCGATTATTATTCATTTAGTTATCGCTTTTACCGCCTTATGGATGGATGAATGTTTAATTATTATCGCATGTCATGTAGATTAAATGAAATACCACCCAATGCACTAAAATCATATGCATTTGCATTTAAATATTTTTTTATCACTCTAAATTAATTAGAGGTGGTTGAAAAATATTTTTATATAATTAGTGCCATTATAATTGTTTATATTTGGCAGACTAATTAAGTGAAAATTCAACGGTGCAAAATAATAAGTGGAAGAGGGTTTATAGGCATGTATAAACTTACGGCCTCCTCCGTCATCCAATTTGCTATTAAAATACGTATGTTTAGTATCGAATTATTTCGGTCTCCCTATAGGAAAACTACGTTATTTTAGATTAACTGAAATTGGATCTAGTAATAGAATTTCTTTAAAAATGAAAATAATGGGATGATCATCCTATAGATGTCATCTTATATATTTCGGATATTTTAAAATTATTGACGAAGCTTATTACACATATATATGAGTATTTTTGGGGGACTTCCTATAGAAGATTTCAACAAAAGTATTTATAGGCCAAATAATAATTAAACCTCATTTTCTTGAGGCATGAGATCCCTAACTCAATAAAATGAGTGGGAGGTCCCAACCTTGCCAACAACTACATTGACCTCCTATAAAGGGCGTGGTAAAAGTTGTAAGGGTTTAAGATTTTTTATTACAAATATAGTTTTAGGTCCATATTTGTATATTCATATACATACATCATACAAAGATTATTGCTTATTTTATTAATATGCGAATCATAATTTTAAAGAAAAATGTCATCCATCATCAGTAATACTTAACAAAAATCAACTTGTGAGAGAAAACTACGTTGATTGAAAAAGGAATCTTAATATTGTTCTTACCGCTGAAAAATAAAAATTTATGCTGGATGAAGTTTGTCCCGAAACCTCTAAAGATGACTCCACGGAATCTCAAAAGGCTGCATAAAAGTGACATCATTCTGATGAGATGACCCATTGTTATATTTTGGCATCCATGTTAAATGTATTACAACAGAAACATTAGAATGTGAAAACTGCTTTTGACATAATGGAAAGCCTTCAAGAGATGTTTGGACATCAAAGTCGACAAGCTAGGCAAGTCTCCATTAGGGCAATCATGAACACATGCACGAAACCGGGCGCATCTGTAAGGGATCAGATGTTAACCATGATTGGTCACTTCAATGCTGCAGAGGTTTTAGGAGTTGACATTGGTTTCGAGATGCAAATTGGCATAGTCCTTGAGACTCTTCATGAGATGTTCTCACAATTTATAGTTGATTATAATCTACACAAGATGGATATGTCTCTGACGGAGTTAATGACAGAGCTCCAAAATACTGAATCTGTTCTAAAGGCTAGAAGTGGAAGTGCTTTGACTGTTACAGTCGGACCCTCTCATCCTAAGCCTTCTGGTGGCTAAGGAGGAAAGAAGAAGAAGAGGCTAAACAAAAAGCTAGATAACAAGTCAAAGGGGAAGAAAACTACTGCCGATGGGAAACCAAAGAGAAAATATTTTATTTGTGGACAAAAGGGTCACCGGAAGAGGAACTGCCCGAAGGACCTAGCTATGGGGAAGCAATGTAAAGGCAATAATGCCCTATTCATTGAGTTATGCTTAGTTGTTGATTCTACTAATACCTAGATTGTGAATTCTGGAGCCACTCATCATATTTGCAATTCTTTGCAAGGGTTCCAGGAAACCAAGCATGTCAGTGAAAGGGAGTACACTCTTAGGGTTGACACGAGAGCAGTGGTATCTGCCAAAGCTGTTGGCACTTTTACGTTATGTTTTGAGAATCGTAGGCATTTGATATCGGATGACTATTTATGTTCCCGAACTTACACGGAACTTGGTTTCCGTTGCACTTTTATATCATGTTGATTATTCGATACTTTTTACCCGGTCTACGGTGGTTATTAAGTTGAATAATTCTATTCTATATTTTGGTCATATGGTTAATAGTCTTTATGTCTTAAGTCCTTTGATTGACTATACATAACACTACTACTGCTAAGAAAAGAAAGAGGTCGTCTAGTACTAATGAAACTCTCTTATGGCATCTTAGATTGGGTCATATCAATCTAAATAGGATTCAAAGATTGGTAAATGATGGTCCTTTAAATGAGTTAAAGGTGGAATCTATACCAACTTGTGAATCTTGTATAGAAGGAAAGATGACCAAGAGGCCCTTTAAGGCTAGAGACTAAGAGCTAAAGAGGTTTTGAAATTAGTACATTCCAATGTTTGTGGACCTATTCGTGCTCGGGCTAGAGGAGGATATGAGTACTTCATCACCTTTACAGATGATTACTCTAGATTTGGATACATATAACTTATGTCTCACAAATTCGAAGCTTTGGAGAAATTCAAAGAGTTTCAAACGGAAGTTGAGAAACAATTAGGTAAGAGTATCAAGGCCCTTAGATCCGATCAAGGTGACGAGTATCTATCCCAAGAGTTTAAGGTCTATTTATCGGATAATGGGATATTATCCCAATTGAGTGTACCAAGAACTCCCCAACAGAATGGTATCTCGAAAAGAAGAAATCGAATTCTTTTAGATTTATAAGATCAATGATGAGTTATTCCTCATTGCCTATATCCTTTTGGGGATATACACTACAAATAGTCATTTATATCTTGAATTTGGTACCTTCTAAGTCAGTTCCCAAGACACTTCTTGAATTGTGGAATGGGCGCAAGCCCAAGCCCAATTTACACCACATTCGGATATGAGAATGTCCAGCACATGTGCTAAAGGGAAAGACGGATAAGATGAAATCAAGATCAGATGTTTGTTTCTTTGTAGGATATCCAAAAGGAATGAAATGTTACTACTTCTATAATCCTCTTGATAAGAAGGTATTTGTTAGCACAAATGCAACCTTCTTAGAGGATAAGTATATAGAAGAACATAAGTCTACTACTAAGATTCTATTGGAAGAGATGTTAGAACATGGTTCAAACAACTCAGTTCCAAATTTTCGCATAGAATCTAATAGTGATGACTTGGAACCTCCTACTGAACCAACGGTTGCTGATAAAGTAAGTAAGCCAATGATGCCTACAAGGCGAACCAGAGGTAGGAGAGAACGAGGCACCCATTGTTGTATCTCTACATGTCCTTTCAAATGGGGATAATGAGGATGTTGTTCCTAACCAAGGACAAGATCAAGCAGTGGGAAGAGAGGATGGACCTTTGGTCAGACTGGACAATAAGGCACCTTCAACCATTACTCGTAGTGGGAGGGTTGTGAGACCACCTTCTAGGTACTTGCTCTATGAAGAATCCTATCAGGCGATCTTTATTGAGCAAGAAAAGGATCCTACTTCGTTTGAGGAAGCAATGGAAGATGTAGACTTTGAATAATGGAAATTAGCCATATGTATTCCAACAAGGTTTGGGATCTTGTAGACGCAACTAATGAGGTAAAGCCCATAGGATGCAAGTTGGTCTATAAAAGGAAAAGAGGTATAGATGGGAAGGTTGAAACCTTCAAAGTAAGGCTAGTGGCCAAGGGGTTTACCCAAAGAGAAGGCATCGACTATGAAGAAACCTTCTCATCGATTGCCATGCTTAAATCTATTCGAGTCCTTTTATCCATTGCTGCTCACTATGATTATGAGGTTTTGGCAAATGGATGTCAAGACAGCATTTTTAAATGGACGTCTTGAGAAGACCATTTACATGATGCAACTTGAAGAGTTTGTGAAAGAAGGCCATGAAAAGAAAGTTTGCAAGTTGCAGAGGTCCATTTATGAACTCAAGCAATCGTCCAGATCTTAGAATGTAAGATTTGATCAAACCATCAAGACCTATGGTTTTGAGCAAATTCTGGATGAACCTTGTCTGTACAAGCGAATACAAGGGAAGAAAGTAGTTTTTCTGATTCTTTATGTAGATGACATTCTACTCATTGGCAATGATGTAGGGACATTGTCATCTGTAAAGAAATGGTTGTCACAATAGTTTGATATGAAGGACATGGGAGAAGCTAGTCATGTTTTGGGAATTCTTATTTTGTGAGATAGGAAAAATAGAGGGATTGCATTATCCCAAACTTCATATATTGACAAAATATTGTCCAAATTAACAATGCAGAATTCCAAAAAGGGATAACTTCCTTTTAGACATGAAATTCATCTATCTAAAAAGCACTGTCCCAAGAATGCAACGGAGATAGATTACATGAGAAAGGTTCCTTATGCTTTGGTTGTGGAAAGTCTCATGTATATTATGCTTTGCACTAGATCGGATATTTGTTATACTGTAGGTATTGTTATCTAATCTAGGCCTAGAACATTAGGTAGCGGTGAAGCATATACTCAAATATCTTTGGAGAATGAGAGATTATATGCTTCTCTACTCAGGACATGATCTAAATCCTATTGGATATACTGATTTTGATTTTCAATCCGATCGTGACTCCAGGAAACCTACATCGGGATCAGTTTTTACACTGAAAGGTGGAGCTGTGGTATGGAGGAGTATCAACCAATCTTGTATTGCTGATTCCACCATAGAGGCAGAATATGTAGCGGCTTGTGAAGTTCCTAAAGAAGCTGTATGGTTCAAGAAGTTTCTTTTGACCTTGACATGGTACCTTTGGCAATGGGGCCCATAACGCTTTATTACGATCATAGTGGGATGGTTGCTAATGCTAAGGAACCCAGGAGTCATCAGCGTAGCAAGCACATCGAGAGAAAATATCACCTTGTTAGAGAAATTGTTCATCGAGGAGACGTGGTGATTAGTAAGATTGCATCAGCAGATAATCTTGCGGATCCGTTCACTAAGATCTTACTAGCTAAGGCTTTTGATGGACATCTTAACGAGATGGATATTCTTGATATATCACACATACTCTAAGAAGGGCAAGTGAGAGATTGTTAGCTTGATGCCGATTCTTTGAGGAGTATTCTGTTAAATCACATTATGAATTGACGTTCGTTTATTTACGTAATTTGTAGTGATTATCTAAGGTTTCATGATCAAATAGGATGTCACAAATTGTATACTCGATGGATCGGGTATAGTAAGACACAATTCATGATGTGATTAAAATTATGTCGCTCACAATCGGTTCATAAAGTTGGACGCTTTATGTTGATAAGATTGTATTGTTCTTATTAAGATTTGTCTAGATCTTGAAATAGGAACAATAATGTGTTTCGATGCATATTGAACGGGACCACGTACATGACTTATTTGTGAATGTTTGAAATGAGACTCTACTTGATTATCAAACAGGTCACCTAAATCCTAAGTGAGTAATGTACCTTTGATTGCTAGCTCAAGTTCTTTGAGGTACCAATGAGTGAAGTCTTAAATAGAAGATTGATTTCGATGCTTTAGGAATCGGGCCGAAACAATTAGAGATCATATACTTACAATAGTGGAATCCATTAATCATTGAGATGAGAAGATCGTCACTCTGAGGTATTTTCCTAGGCAAATTGAATCTGAACTCAGTAGGTCAATGATGAGATCATTGGACTTTACATTGTGATTTGATCACAACGAATTTGCCGTATGAAAATGGGACTTCGAGGGTAATACACGTTGAAGGGCAAACGGTTATTTTGTCAGTTTCAACATATTGGCGGTCAAATGGGGGTTGACTTGTGGAATGATAATCAGAGGATATTGTTATTGGATCATAATTTGCTTTTATAACTATCGCTCGACTCAAGAGTGCAATCTCGATTTTTTGGTAGAACAAGCCGGGATTAATAGATGTATCTCATTGGTCAAGTGTTGACCCAATTAGAAACATCTATTGGAGCTTAGGTCATGTGAGTCTGATAAGGTACTTCTCTTGGCTCCAATAAAATGTGTGTGACGTAATTGGTTTACTATAATAAAGTCCAAGAAAATTTGTGCAATTTTTAAATCCTAATAGGATATTATAAATATGCACTTTATCGACATATTTTATATGAGAATTAAGGTTAGCCACTTTTCTTGAAAAAGAAATATACCTAGTGAAGAACTAGGGAGAAAATCTAAGGGAGAAAGCAATTGACTAGATCATTAAAAGCTCATTCAAAAGGTTATCATCTCTCATTTCTATGTGTGAGGATTTTATAATCTTATGATCTCAAGGTCACTAAAATCCTTATTTAAATGATTTTAATCTTTAAAGAAAAAATAATTTTCTATTGTGATGATTAAAATTCATTAACTAACAAATACTTCCAAAGCAATTTAGTACCTGCACACGATTACAGTAATATACCAAAACAAGATGATGATCAGATTTATTATGTTCTACCTACCATCATATCTTACACATCATTCACATACTTTTTCTCCCTCCGTCTACGAGGGATAGTTAAACCCAAGTGCCTTTGAGAAACGCACGGGTATAAGACGTCTCTCCAAAAGTTCTAACCAAATCAGAGCAACTAGTATCGTGTTGATTCTGTTTTTGTGCATCTACCTCCATTTCCAGCTGCAACCCCAGTTCTTCTTCAATATCATCAGATGCTGATATCAACAGACACTCACATCCTTCATAGTTGAGAAAATCGGGTGGATCAGCCGTGTGGTATCGCAAATGACCAAATTGTCCTTGCAAATGCACTGGAAAAGTAGCCTTCCTGTTACTCTCAAGTCCTTGAAACTCTGAACCGTGTTGATCTGGGTTCTTTATTTGTATCGAAAACGAACCTTCACGCTCAATGTTAAGCGATTCCTACGCTTCGTTCTTCTCATCTTCGGTGGATATTCAAGCTTGTAAACCAAATGGGTGTGCATTCTTTTCCCTCCTCGATTGTGTTGTAAAATCCGATATATGCCTTCGGCCAACACTCTTGCAGGAGGTATTGTGTTGTAAAATCCGATATATGCCTTCGGCCAACACTCTTGCAGGAGGTTTGTGTCTGTTGCCTCTTGTTGCTGCATCATACTCCTCTGCCATTCAAATTTATATGTTATATAAATGCTAGATAAACAATTATCAACATAAACATGTAATTAGGGTGATTAGAACCTCCTTTGAGAGCCAGCTTAATATCTTTGCTTTTTGTCATAACCATCTCGACGAAACCCTAGTATGGTCTACCTCTCTTGCTGCTAGGATTCGGGAGGCTTTTACGTCCCATCACTATGAATCGCAGGGATTTTATGTCCCATTACTATGAATCGCAGCAGAATTTGCTTCTCAATATTTATTTCCTGTTAAGAATAAGCATGGATGCATATTAAGATAAAACTAATTAATTAACAGTTTAAAAGAAGCTAAATTTCAAAATTTGACTCTCATTTTTAAATATATTTGCCTCTCCAACTCATTTTCAATATTTCAAGAGACAAATAATCTTTATCAACTTTTAAACCACAACTAAAATAAAGCTTTAAATCCTTTTCCTTTTTTTTTTTTTTTATAACTCTTATCCTAGTAAAATTAACGAATTATTGAATTAATTAAACGGTTTTATAGTTAATTATTTAATTTATAAAAGACAAATTATTTTTTTTGTACAAAGTCCTCTAACCTTTAGTCGCCCACTTAAATAGCGCTTGTCCGGAGGAGATTTTCACAAAATGTTAATGAGAATTTCAACCGTTCTGGGAATGTGGGTCCCCTTTGCCGGTCTCAATTTTTGACTGCATATTTGCCAAATTACCCTAAATGCTCGTCATTCAAATGAAATAGATTAAATATACATGGGTACCTGGGTCATTTTGTAAAAAAAGTCAATAATTGCGGCCTAAGTTTTGCTATACTGGTCAGAATTTTAATTAAAATATTACTGAGAATCGCCTCCAAATTGCCCCATATACAATATCATTTTCGAAGTGCCTGATTTCATCTGTGCAACTTAGGTATTAATTATGTACGTTACTATGCTTAGCCCCTCTTTGATTTGGATTAATATTTCAAGTTAAATCAAGTTATTTGAATATAAATATTTTGTTAGGAATCTACTTAACGTGCGCAGCGGAAAATAAAATAAATTTCGATTCCCATAAGGATTCATATTTGTGTTTAGAAATGAAATGTGATAAATGTTGTACTTTTTACGAGATCTACAAACTTTTTGCTTTGATTCTGCAAACTCCTTTGTAATTCTTTTGTTCCAACAACCTTGATCCGTCATCCACAACTGTCCAATTGTCCAGCCTCCAATGGTGATCCACACAAAGAACAAGATTGTAAGATTAGGATTTTCTTTCTTGTGCTAGCAAGAAGAATGAATTTTCTCTACAGATTTTGAAAACCCTAATCATATTATTTATATAAGTCGAAGCAGGCTTGGCCTGACCCGGTTCAATATTTAATTAACACAATTAATTAAATCCTGTCCATGAATTAATTAACCCAATTAATTAATTCGAACCTATAAATATGCAACCTAATTAAT